AAATAAATGTAAATTAGATAACTAATCTTTAGACTGGAGTTCCATGTTGCCTTTCTTAGTTAATCACACCCAGATTTCTTGCTTTCTTTTCTTAAAAGTTGAGAAGGACTTTAAAGAAGCTTATAAAAATAGCAGAGGGCAAAATCCTTCTAGATATTTTTACTGTACTTTCCCAATATTTTATAGCTGCCTATTCTACATGTAAGTAATAGTTTGTTCATGTTGCTTTTTTAAGCTTTATTTTTTTAATTGAGATAAAAATCCATAATATAAGCTTCACCAACTGTTTAGATTGAACTCTTCAAGCTTCTTTTTCTTGAGGTGGGGAATCAAACCTAGATCCTCGTGCATGCTAGGTAAATGCTCTAACATTGTGCTACACCCCCAGTCCTAATGTAATCATTTCAAAGTGGTTTTTAGTATCTTCATAATGTTCTGCAAGCATCATCACAAAACAGAAACCCTGTGCCAGTGTCAGTCACTCCCAGTTTCCCCTACCTCCGTGTCCTAGACACTGTTAATCCACTTTTGGTCTCTATGGACCTGCCTCTTCTGAACATCTCATATAAATGGAATCATACAATAGGTGGTCTTTAGTATCTGGCATATATTTACTAACATTTTCAACATTGTTGATTTTCTAAAATGGCTTACTTTCATGGACTGCTCTAGTTTGGATGTTGAATGTCCCCCAACATTTTATCACTAATGGGCGGTAGTAAAACCTTTGACAGTTAGAACCTTATAAGATGTTCCTAGGTAAATCAGTGTGAGTCAAATCCCTGTATAGCTATCCTTATCTCAAATAGCTAAAACCCTTGGTCCTTCCTATTATTGCTCATACTCTCTCTACAACAAAATTAGAGATAAGGGCAAAATAGTTTCTGCCAGGTAGCGAGGGGGTGGGGAGGAGAGGGAGGGGTTGGGGGGGTGTAAGGGAGGGAATGGGGGAAGGGGGGAGAAATGACCCAACATTGTATACATATATGAATAATAAATAAATAAATAAATAAGATGTTTCTAGGTAATTGGGCATATGCTTTGGGGGATTGGGGACCCTATCCATTCATTCTATCTTTCTCCTCTTCCTCCCCTCCATCCTGGCTATGAGATGAACCATTTTCTTTGCCATATGCTCCCTGCCATTGCCATGCAGCACTCTCAACACAGATGCAAAGCAGTGTGTTTGCCAGATCTTGGGCTGGAATCACCAAGACTGTAAACCAAAATAAACCTTCTCTCTTTATAAGTTAAGTATCTCAGGTATTTCATATAAAAATATGAAGGTGGGTAACATATGGGTCCATGTAGCAATCAATTTAATTTTCATAGAAATAGCATTCTTTGGCTTTCACATTAAATCATTTATGCAATATTTAATTACAAAATTACAGTAACAAGTACAACTGACCTAAACAGGACTATGACCAAACACCACTGTATCTGAGTGGGAAAGAGTAAAATAGATCAATTTATTATGATGATACCTATTGTGACAGTGATCTCTGTGCTCTGAGTAACATCAGTATGTTTCAGACAGAAAGGAGAGCATTAGTTAGTCCAGAGAGTTGTTTTACTGTTGATGTAATAATTATGTCTATCATATAACCAGGCACAGTCTCAACTGGTCCCTAAAATGAAGTCTTCTGTATTCAAAAAGAAGCAAGAGGGGCTGAGGGTGTTAGCCCAGTGGTAGAGCACTTGCCTAGCATGTGGGAAGCCCTGGGTTCAATCTCTAGTACTAGAAAAGAAAAAACAAAAAAGAAGCAAGATGTGCTCCCATATATATATATATATATATATATATATATATATATATATATATTTATATATATACTTTTGTCTGTATAAAAGCTTTATCATGCTACTCATCTCTCAAGGAGCAGCTCAGAGATTTTCCCTATAAAGTTTTTCCTAATCTTCAATTCCTCTCAGTTCCTATATGCTCTTTCCTTTAACTTTCAAAGTATTTATCTGTCTCTAATAGGCATGCAATGTCCTTTCTTCCAGACCAAGCTGTAAGCTGCTTCAAAGGCAAGTCTGTGTCTTTATATCCCCTATTACCATCAGCAAAGGAAAAAGTGATGCTCAAAATACAATCTACACAAACCCTTATGAAAGTCATTAATGAGAAGGAGGAAAAGTTCAATAAATATTTATTAAATCAATAAACTAATGAGTATACTGAATAATTAACTTCCTACCTGTCTATAGAACTACTCCCCGACACATCAATGTGCAATAAAAGGATGGATGAGTATCCAATGGGGCAAAGTGATATGTGAATAGAGAAAAATATCAACTCCTCTGGGGCCCAGCAGGCGTCAGAAATCATGACTGTCTCCAAGTGTTTTATAGACACCACCTTTAACTAGGACACTCTTAGATAATGACACTTCCTCATGTCCTTTGATGTAGAGCAAATTAAAAACAGACACAGAGATTCTTTGTGTTCCAAATCCCCCAACATTTTCAACTGTGGATTTGCTTTTTCTCGATGGCATTAGATGACTTTAATAGGTGAGTTTTTAGACATACTAAAAAAGTACTCATAGGAAATAGCTTAAAATTTGGCAATTTTTAAAAGCAAAGCAATTGATTAGAAGAAGAATGCAGAAACAACCCCAAACACTGCACCTAACACTGCCAAGTTCATTTTGATAAGCTTTGTTAAGAACAACAAACATGCCTGAGCTTGCAAACCATGCTGTTTTGAAGAAAATACAATTCAGAGAGTTAGAGAATACTTAAAACTGGAATGCGTGGTTAAAAAGAAAAACTACCATAGTGACAGATTTACCAATAAGTCACAACACTGTGCAACCTATTAATATGGAGGAGAGTGTGGGACAAAATGTAAAGTGATACAAAATAAAAACAGAACACCATCTACATAAATAAATAATAAGCCAGCTACATTTTACAAGCTAATGCAATTAGTCTCCAATACTAATACAGTAGCACTAACACTTTTGAGAAAACTAATCTTCCCATACCTCATTAAGTTTAAAGTTACCACAATGATGTCCAGTTCATTTGAAGTCCAAATAAACATACTTTAAGTAACCAAATGTGAGAACCCCTATTCATATATCATAGTCAGTTCATAAAAGCCAAAACAACTTCATCTGAGTTTATTTTTTGTTCCCCATGATTATACGATTGACAGAATCATGGGATTGGAAGGATGATGATTAGGACATTTAAGTTCATTTCCCTTCTTTAGGTAAAACTGAAATTCTTTTCTATCTGCCTAAGAAAACCCTGGACAAATTCTAATGAATGACTTATAACTTGCGCTACACAGGATTAAAGTTCATTGTTTTGTTCATGACACATCTCAAATGTCCAGAACAGAGCTGAACATATTGTAAACACTTAATAAATATTTGTTGAGCCAGCTATGTTGGTGCATGCTTATTATCCAAGCACTGGGAGGCTGAGGCAGGAGGATGGCAAATTGGAGGCCAGCCTGGAACTATACAGCAAGTTCAAGGCCATGCTGAGCTACACGGTGAGAGTCTATCTCTAAATAAATAAATCTGAACAAAATTGAAAGATAAGCTGTGAAATTCAATGCTAAAATGCTAGATAAATCAGTTTAAAATTCCTTTAAATTTTAAGTCATGACTTCTGTTACAAGCAATAAATTAATATAAGTTGGTATTAATCACAACAAGCAAATAGTTCTCCAATAACTCAGTTTTCTCAAACCAGCTCCAAAACCATAAATCATGCCTTTAGGTCTTGCCAATCTTCACTACAGAGAACACAGAATCAGAAGAAACTCCATGGACAGATGGGGCTAGACTTACTCCTACCATATTTTGATTCCTTTTCTTCTTTGGGGTTTTAACTAAGATGTAGCTACACATTCATCTTGATGTAAGAAGAATTTAAAGTATTGCTTAAAGTTAAGGATTCCTATTTTTTAAAATATGCTACCAAGGTAATTTGACTAAATTAACCCCTGTCGTCTATTTCAGACTCCTGCTGGTTTAAAAATAGTTAATAAAAAAAACAAGAACAGGAAAATCATATGATTAGGTGATTCTACTCATATTTTTGTTCAAAATGCCTAGAAGCGAAGTGCCTAGAAAACTGACCAGAGATAATGCCTGGATTCCAGGGTTGGGTCCATCTTTAATCAGTGCACAGTAAGAATTAAGGCAGTCCTTGCCCACCTGTGTCTGAGCTGCCTGACCTATAAGTTGAAGAGTTTGAATCTAGTAGATGATGACCTCTAAAACCCTTTTTGATTTCTAAGATCCTGTGATTATAAGTGATCAAATCCAGTCACTCAATAACTGTTTTTCACTCTTTAGTTCTTCAACAGACACTGGTTGAAGAACCCGTGGAAGGGTTCTGCACCATTATTCCTAGTTTAGCCTGACTTTGGAGGGGAGGCAAATTATGCAGGGGGCAGTTGATTTCAAAAACTAGTGAGCTCGGATACCTGTGGAGATGGTGTGTTCCTGAAGATTTTCCTTCTGGGGTAAGCCTGCTGGGCCTCTGGAGTGTCCAGCTCTTAGCAAAGAATCAGGTAGAAGGAACTAATTAGAGGCCCTGTCAAAGTGCAAGTGTTTGATTTAGAACGCTGAATTGTGAGTTCGCACTACAGGCATCACCGCTTTTGTTAGTGGATAGGAAGTAACTGGAGAAATAAAGTTCAATTCACTAAAACTTTTGAAGGATCTTGTATTTTTAATAGACTATGCAAGAAAAATAAATATTACTGGAGAGAGGAGTGTAAAAAAATGCAACGAACACAAAGGGTCTAGGAAAAAGACGGTTCTCTTGCACAGGGAAGTCTGCACTTGGAAACCGCAGGAGATGGAGACCAAAGCCACTCGCTTCCCAGCCACTTTACCCAGAATTTCGACCAGAGCGAAGCACGATACAGTCGTATGTTCTCCCTTCTAACCCAGCAGGCTAGCGGAGGGACCCAACTTAGGGTCTTGGGATCGCGGCGCAGGCTGAGCCCAGGGGCAGCAGAGAGAATGGAGCGTCCGAGAGTTCGGTCAGCTCCAGCACCCACCGCCCTTCCTCTAGTGAAGCCCGAGTCACCTAAACCACGGACCCAATCAGAGCGGGAAGAGCGCGAGCCGAGAAAGCCGGGCGCTGGAGCCACCCGGGAGACCACTCCGGGACAGCGCTCTGAGACCAGGGTCCGGCGCTCCGTAGAGCGCGCAGACCACCCAGCTCCCTGGCCGACCCCTGCCGCGCCCTCCACCTCGCACCCGGGTCCCGCCGCGTCCTCACCTCGCGGGGACCGCTGCAGCCCTGGCGGTGGAGCGCAGACATGCCCCCGAGGCGCACCCGCCGAGCCGCGTCCCTGCACGGTGGCCCCTTCCCGGGCCCCAGGCGCCACGGACCGCGCTTCCGAGGGGCGGGGAGCGGACAGGGCGGAGGCGTCACCGGGGCTGGGGCCAGGGGCCCGGCGGACAGCGCCGGGGGAGGGGAGTGTCGCTGGGAAAAATCCCACTTGATCGGTCCCCAAAATGCACCACTGGCTGGTTCAGCCCCGCCGGAGACTGCCGGGCGGGCGAAGGAGATTTATCACTGGGATGCGCTGAGTGCTGGGGCTGGGCCAGGGGTGAGGGGCGCGGGGAAGGAGGGACGCCTATCAGTTATGTAATGCATGGGCCGGCTTGTGTCCCCAGCCAGCTTGCTCCGGGACTGTCAGCTTCTCCCCCCGGGAACAGCCGCGCGTGCCCCTGGCCTAAACAAGCCGAGGGGGCCCCATGTTCTCAAAAAGATTCTTTCTCTGCAGGGTCAAAGAGCAAGAGGTCGAGAAGGAATACAAGGACTCCTTTTTAGGGAGTCCTTGTATCTGGCTGAGATCCGAACCCTGCCAAACCGCCCTAACCATTCCACAGTGCCGAAAACTGAAGCGCAGCACTGTTACTTGAAAGTGCCAAATGGACTTGGGTTCAACTCTCCTGAAAAGCCCTTAACTTCGGACGATCTACTTAACTCTCTGGACCTCGGTTTGATCTGTAAATTAAGAGAGAATAATAGCGCCTGCTTCATTTGACTTCTGAGAACAAAATGGGTGAGGTGCGGATCCCCGGTACATAACACTTCCAGTAAACCTGAAGAAGCTGATGCCCAAGTCTTCCAGGAGGTACACCACGTAAGGAAGTCTCCAGGCTAACCTCCTTCACAGAAGGAAGGCCTCGGGACTGACAAAGTCTGATTCCAGATTCTACGCCTTTGTCACTCAAAGAATGGACCCTGACCTACCGACCTGGAAGCTTGTTAAAAACGCGGAATCTCAGGTCCCACTACAGAACCTCTAAGTTAGAATCTGCATTTTAGCAAGAATCCCTGACGATTCAGATGAACACCAACATTTCAAAATAAATTAGAATTTTGTAAATTTTGAGAAGGGGACTAAGAAGTTGCTAATCAGTAGTGAGCAAGATTTACTACGATTTACTACGTATGATGTTTTAAAATAAGAAAATCCTTTCTCATTTTACTCTCTAACCATTTTTTCTCTTCACCTTCCCTCACCTTCTTGCCCTTTTAAGTATAAATCTAAATTTAAGTTGTTTTTTCACTTGCAAACATACTCTAAGTTAGATGTAAGTGACTATTAGTGAATATATCTTTAAAACATACATAAGAAGGAAAAAACACAGCTTGTTAAAGAATTCATTAGCACTGAAAATTAACGTATAAAAGCAGTGGCAGCAGTGAGCCCTGGACTCTCAACTGTGAAGGTCTTTAGGTTAAAGGTTTGAATACTTTTGTGTTTCAGAAAAACTCTTCTCTGTTAAACATTTTTTGGAGAGGCAAGTTAAGTTCCATTTTCCATTTAAATAGTGTAGGACAACCAGTTCTAGAAAGAAAAGGAAAGGAAGGAAGGAAGTTTGGAGAACAGAAACCTCACAGGCTTCCTTCAGAGTCACCAGTTACAGGGCCTTTAACAAATCCAAAGTAAGTATTTTGTTGATTTCATTAAGTACTCTGCTCTTGTTTGATCTGAGAGTGTTCAGATTTGGTTTGTTTGATTCTATGTCTGGGAGAAGGAATTTCAAAAAGAGTTCAGTAATTGTGGGTTGATGATGATGGTTGATTGATGATTGATAATGGGATAGCAGAGCCTGATTTCCAAAGGTGACTTCCTGTGTGATTTCCCTCCCAGGGCTGTTAAAATGACTGCTACCTTAAAGGTGGACAATGTGGAAAGACAGGTTAACAGAGGAAAGGAATCTCCTTTCTGTTAGATTGAAGTGTTGGAGTTGCTGGAGAGGGAAGAAACTCTGCAGCAGAAAAATAAAGGTAGGATCCTAGAAGCCAATCAGAGAAGAAAAGAAATACACAGCATTCTTCAAAACAGCACTGTCCAATAGAGCGTTCTACAGTGATCAAAATGTTCTATATTTGCTCTAAAATATGGCTATTTTGTATTTCCTTTGTAATTAAGTAATCAATTAAATTCAGTTTTCTGTGTGCTTTTTCGTTTGTCTCTCAGTGCTAGTCTGTTGCCCTGGCCTCATTTCAAGGGCTCCATATGAACATGTGGCTAGAGTCTACCACACTGGCAGCACATAAAACATTTCCTTTATCAGAGCAAGTTGTCTTCTATGGTGATGCTTAAATATCAGTATTTGGGTAAGGAAGATGAACCCAGATAGGAAGCTTTTCTGAGACATAGTCATTTGTTCATGGGAGGTGGAGAATAATAATTAAACTTGCATCACTGAGTCCCTGTGAAAGTCATAATGACATAATGTATAGAATGTGCCCAATGCAATGCCTTGGAAATAGTAAATCTGTAAAAATGTTTAACCTATATTGGCAATTAGATTCTTTGTTTGGCCAGGCTCTAATTCTGACACTTCTCTTGGCCATCTGTGTGCTTCCTTACAAAATCAAGTTTTGTACCTTGGCTGTGCTGGTTTTGGAGCTGAGACCCATCTATAACTCCTATTGCAAGACCCATTGCAATGGTACCTCTATCTGGTAATGGTCCTGAATAAAGTCTTCCTTACCATGGTTTAACAAGTGTCATTGAATATTTTATTTTCTTTAACAGAGGGCATGGTACTTTAGTCACATCATTATTTGTTAAATAACATTTGCTGATGTGATCAACTGATCTGATACTGCATTAAAGCTGTGCTCCAACTATCTCTCCTTCCCCATCCTCCCTACAACTGAGCACTACCTGTACTCGTCTGGCCTGGAGGCACAGCATATTTGGCCAGTCCCTATCATTTGTAGCCATATATAACAAATGTGTTAACTGAAATCATATTGTGTTATGGTTCAGTAGAATTAACTTTCTGATGAGATTCTGAGAAGTATGATACCTAGGGTACAATCATTATGGAAGGAATTGTTTGTTCTTGTTATTTGATCAAACAAGGATATGTAGACTCAGCAAAGAGCAATGAGAACATTGGTTCCAGATAAGGAGAATTTAGGAGTGTCCACATCAGAATGGAAGCTACCGGAAGGTTGGAGATTGGAGATACAATCTTAAGGCTTAGGCTAAAATAGAATTTAACTTTTATTTTGAAGACTAATAAACATTTTAAGGATAACTACAAACAACATGAGAAAGATGTAATTATTTTAGGCCATCAACTCTACACATTAGAGCAAAATTATTCTCTGGATACCAAGAAACTGATTTCTGATTAACCATCCTCTTAAACTCCTGTTCCCATGACTTCTTCAATAACATTATGGCTTGTGGGCACCTTTCAATCCTACTTTTTTATTGTCTTCCTCAGTTTCTCTTACCATTTCATCTCTTTTCTTAACAAACATTTTCTTAGGTTCAACCCCTACTTCTCTGCTCTCCTTTCTGAAAACGTATCTCAGGCTAACACCTGCTATCAGCAGCATTGCAGTTCCAGTTGTGACCTCCCTCTGAACTCCAATTCTTGTCACCAGACACTCAGTGGAGAGTTTCACTTGCATTCTCTCCAACTCATCACTTCAAATTTTAAAATACCAGGAACTAAAGTTTTCATTACAATTTGCTCTTAGCTCCCCCAAATCGCTGCCTTGGTCTCTGGTGCAAAGCCATGGAATATTTTCAATCCATTAATCTTTTTCCTGAAGTCATAACATAAAGGGAAGACATTGAATTTGCAATCAAAGAATCAAAATAAAAATCTGTATCTACCACTTTTTAGCAGTATGGACTTCAGAAGTTTCTTAGCTCCCTAAGCCTCATATTTCTCATCTACAAAATGATGTCATTATTATTACCATTCAAAAAACATGGATTGAGCAGTAACTTATTTCAGCCTCTTTGCTAATTACGTTAGTCCCTCAACCTTTGCACAACTAATATTTTAGACCTGACAATTCTTTGTTGTGATGGTGTCCTGTGCATTGTAGAATACTTAGCAGTGTCTCTGGTTTTTGCCTATGAATGCCAATACTACGTCCCTTAGTCATGACAATCAAAATTATCTTCATACATTACCAAACATCCCATGAGGTCAGAGGAAGACTGAAGGAGCAATGGTACCTTCCTGTCTGGGTGCTTCAGGAATTGCAGAAGATGACAATAAAAAGTCACTGGTGTAGTTCTTGATCTGGGACACCATTTGCAGAATAGGGGCGTCCGCTCATTCACGAAACTCTGACATAATGAGTTGTTCTCTGAAATCACAAGTGAAAGCACATTTTTAAAGAAAAAATTTAAATTACACTGTCCTGAATTGTAGGCTAGTAAATATTACTTTTTGAATTTAAACGACACTAAAACAAATTTCTTACTACATTTTCTTAGTAGTGTTATCTATCTGCTGTCACTGCTCTCCAGCCTAATATTCCCTCATGTATCAATCACTAGAACTACTATAGTTCCATTACTTCAGTCTCTCTTCCTACCCATCTATACAACTAACTTTTCTGATACTCTTTGTGTGCAGCAGTCTTCTTACCAGAAGTTCTTTTGATTCCTATTTCCCATACTTTTGTTTGTTGTTGTTGTTGTTTTGAGACAGGGTCTGTGTATCGTGGGCTACCTTTAAACTCAAAATCCTCTTACCTGAGTGTTGGAATTACAAGCTTGAACCACCACACCTGGCTCCTACTTTTCATATTTACTTCATGGAAATGGAACTCATTTGTCAATCTGTGAAGTCATCTTTCATTCAGTCATCTTATCTAACCCTTCATTGTCATGTTCCTGAACACTGATTGTCAACCTGTCACAGCCTCCTTATTCGATGAGATCACCATACACAGTCTTTCTCCCACTCTCTTTCCCATGCCTAAGACTGTCCCTTCTTTTTCTTTTGCCTAGGGGGAGTTGACAACTTTCAAAGTCCAATTTAAATCTCAATTTTTACAGTCTGTTATTGTCTTTGAAAGATGTCAAAAAATAAGATGATTAATGGTTAGAGACAGAAATAGATAGTTATAAGATAAATCAAATTTAGTAAAATGTTACTCTATGACCTAGATAGCAACATATAGATACTCACTGTATACTTTGTTCAACTTTTTTATT